GACAGTGGTTCAAGTCCTGGACCCATTGGCTTAAACTCATGCCGGGTGCATGTGCGTGTGTGCCAAGATCCCAAGAGGAGAATGGATTGTGGCATGGCCATCCCCCCAGGGGGTGATTTCTCACTTTCTGTCTGTCTCTCTTTCTGGCCAGTGCACGTGCCTATAGCAAAAACCTCTCCAAAACAAAGAGAGAAAATACTGGGTCATCCTTAAAAGAGAAAATACGAAGACCAGAAGGGGAAAAGGGAATAAATGAGAAGAAAGGAGTTGAGCTTCATGCCTGGTTCACGCTTGACTTGGTGGAGGGCCAGGAGTACGTCCTTCATGGTCTGTCTGCTGTCTTGCTAGGTTGATTGGGAGCTCAGGTGTAATGCTGCATAACCAGACCAAGCAAAGTGTGCTTCTTCAAAACCCAGAGAAATGAAAGAGGAACCTTCTGTCCTGGTCTACGGAAGAAGTACGAGAGCCCAAACAAAGAAACTACGTTGGAGGGGTTACGTGGCCTGGATGTGAAGCCAAGCAAAACCACCTATCAAAGTTCCGTTATTTTGTTATTTAGCTTGTAGCAAATTGCCATAAAGAGTCTATATTTTTAATTTTTGTATTTTAATTTTCGTTAGCACCCAGAGATTTACATATGATATGGTAACTCCTTGCATTCTGGACCTCAAATAGGGACTCCATAGCAGTGTCCTGTGGGAAAGAGAATTAGAAGCAAGTGGGAAGACTGAACACCACGGTGCGCCCTGGGCCTGCCTGATAGCACTCACAGGAGAACGCTTATGCTGGTGTTGGCAACCGGCAGGTAGGCAAGGGGAGAACCTTAATTCTGGCCAAGTGGCATTTTAGCCTTTAAATGAAACCATAGTTACCTTGCCTACCCCCTCCCTTGGCCCCAAGACAAGATGACAGCATAATAGTTTTCCAAGATTTTCATGGCCTGGACCACAGCCCTAATTATCAACAGGCGTGGCATAATCCACTAGAGGCCATCTGGACCATCTGCGAGTGCAGCATCTGGTTACCACCATGATGGAAGGGCACTATTGACATTTAGTGGGTGAGCACAAGAACAGGCAATGCTGTCAGAACATGAAAACGAAGTGTTAAAACCATCTCCCATGACTACCTACGATCATCTGAACTTACCGTCTGTTTTACAGGCGTGAAGTGTCTTTGGTATGGGTTTAATCCATGCTGAGTTTTCTAAGCAAGCCGGCTCTACCGAAGTCTAGGGAGGTTTACATTTTTGCACTGTTCTGAACTTTACAAGGAGTCCTTCATTATTTTAAAAGCTGATACCATGAATAGCAATGCTGCTCACGGTCCGTAGGTGGCCAACACAACCCGTTCCCCATCAGCCTGCGTGTGCTGCTTTCACACTGTGACTGCCCACGTGGATGTGAGCCAGGCACACACGTCACGATGCCATCCACATCGATGGCTCAGACACCCATATAGATTTCACTGTGTACTGCCTTCCTTTAACTTGTTTATTTAAGGCACTACATTATGTCTTAATTGCATGGGTAGAGAGGCTATAGCAACTATAATTTCCATATGCGGATAATAAAGGTTTATTACAAAACATCTGTTATAAAAGGAGGCACTGGGAGCCAGTCCCATGACTTTGTTGTTAAGGAATCCCACAAAGACAACCATAGTTCAAATCCTGGCCCCCGTGGCTTAAAGAACACACCATGCACGTGCGTGCAGCCCAATCCCAACTGCATGCATAAATAGAGAAGGGATTGTGGTGTAATCATGTCCCATTGGGATGCTTTCTCCTCTCTCTTTCTCTGGCAAGCGCATACACCTTACAGCATATTTAAAACAGGGGAAAAGGCATTGGATGAGATATAAAGGAGAAACTATCCTGACTGAGTTACAGTTTTAGAGAAAGACAAGTATGTTGCACCATGAGCTATAATACAAATTTTAAGAATTATAGCGACCAGCAGTTGGCAGAATGGCTATGTCAGTGGACTCCCATGTAGTCGACTACAGTTCGAGTCTCGGACCCGGTGGCTTAAACTCACGCTGGGTGCGTGTGAGTGCGTGTACAAGATCCCAAGAGGAGAATGGAGGAGAAGGGACTGTGGCATGGCCATCTCCCCCGGGAAGGGTGATTTCTCACCTTCTGTCTCTCTGTCTCTTTCTGGCGAGCGCACACGCCTTATAGCAAAACCAAAACAACAAAAAAAGGAATTATTTGGGACCAGTAGGTGGCGTGGTGTTTAAGGCACTGGACTGACCATGGTTCAAGTTCTGAGCCTGCTGGCTTGCTTTCTCACTCCCCACCCTGGTCAAATTAAAATGAATAAATAAAATTAAATAATTCTTTTTTCTATTATTATTATTATTTTGGAGAGGTTTTCACTATAGGGCGCGTGCGCTCGCCAGACAGACAGAGACAGAGAGACAGAAAGCGAGAAATCACCCCTCAGGGGGGATGGCCACACCTCAATCCCTTCTCCATTCTCCTCTCGGGATCCTGGGCACGCACGCACATGTGCCTGGCATAAGTTTTAAGCCACCAGGTCCGTAACGCGAACCATGGTCGACCACGTGGGAGTCCAGCGACATAGCCATTACGCCAACTGCTGGGCCCCCTATTATTTTTTAAAATTTGCTATCAGGCTTGTGTGTTCACCAGAAAGAAACAGAGAGAGGAAGTGAGAAAGCAAGCCTCCAGGTCTGGGACTCGACCTGCAGTCAGACGTGGGAGTCTAGCGCCCTAACCACCAGGCCACCTGCTGGCCCCAGAGCTATGATACAAATTAAAAAGATGAGAAGAAAACATTGCTAGAAGATACTATTTTTTAAAATTTGCTATCAGGCTTGTGTGTTCACCAGAAAGAAACAGAGAGAGGAAGTGAGAAAGCAAGCCTCCAGGTCTGGGACTCGACCTGCAGTCAGACGTGGGAGTCTAGCGCCCTAACCACCAGGCCACCTGCTGGCCCCAGAGCTATGATACAAATTAAAAAGATGAGAAGAAAACATTGCTAGAAGATACAGATATTGTAAGAGAGGACAGTATTCATTATAAATTTGATGTTTCTTCCCAATCAAACCACCCAGCTGTGTGCCTTGCAGCTAACGGCCAAGCAGGGGTGCCATCTGACCTGACAGAAGACAAGCATGTGCAGCTGAACGTGGGCCCTTCCCCAGTGCACTGACTGTCAACGTTACGGAGCAGGACAAGAGACTGGCATGTTTAATGAAAGTCAACTTCCTGGACGTCTTTCCAGAGATTCTGGTTCGGTACGTTTGGGGGGGGACTGCACACCTGGATCCCTAACAGGCGCTCTGATGCAGCTCTTCTGTACAGAGGTGCGTTCCACACTTGAACGTGCACACAGACCTCCGAACTGCAGCTATGCAACGGGCCTGGGGTAGGACCTGGGATTTTCTCTTTCTTTTTTTCTAGTTTATTTATTTCTTCTATGAGAGAGGGAGACAAAGAGACAAATAGAGACAGAAAACACCTCAACAAGGTCTCAATGCCATGGTCCACCTCAGCTTCAGCCAGCCCCAGGTCATAAGCTCATGCATGCTTGGCGTACTCAAGGGGGTCTCCAGGTGTGAACCCAGAACTTGCCCATGTAGGTCAGCCTCACAGAGCCACCTTACTTACTTACTTATCTATCTATCTGAGAAGTTTTTGCTATAGGGTGTGCACTCACCAGAAACAGAGACCGAAAGCGAGAAATCATCCCCCCCCAGGGGGGATGGTCATGCCACAATCCCTTCTCCTCCATTCTCCTCTCGGGATCTTGGGCACGCACGCACACACGGCGGGTGTGAGTTTAAGCCACCAGGTCCAGGATTTTGCATTTCTAACAAGGTCCCAAGTGACACGGATGCTGCTGATCCTGGGACTCCACTCAGAGTAGCACACTGCGGCCTGGTTTGGGGAAAAGATCCCGGAGCAGAGGTTTGTGGAGAATGCACTGCCAACATCTGTGTACCACTCTTGGTAAGGATGAGATGGGCATGACCACAACTGGAAGGGGTTTTACTGACATTCCTGTCCTACAGGTCTGAAGGCTGAGACCTGGTGACCACAGTGCTCTCTGGGCCACCTAGGAGGGAATACTGGCTTCACCAGAAGTTACGGGAGTTGGCAATCACACAGTACTCAGATTTACCTCTGAACCTGCTGTCTACCTGGATCTTGGCTGTGTTGCTAACAGCTTAAGCAAAAAGTCCTAATTTCTAAACACTGGCATCACAAACAGCGAGACTGAGGCAACTCCTCTGTATGGGAACCAGTGTCTGGAACAATCTAGATGTGGCCCTAACAGTACAGCTACGGATGCTCAGATCCGAGAGGGTGACGGAATTACTGCAAGGGATCTGAAACTCCATGTCCATAGACAAGGTTTAAATATATTATATATAATGTGTACCATATATATTTCATGTATAATCTTATAAATGTAATCAGACATCATTAAAATAAATTTTATTATATTTTTAAGTTTAAATTCATGATTGAAAGTACACAGTGCACACAGGAAAGATAGAGAAGAAAGAGAGAGACAGCCTCAGCAGGATCTCGCCACACCTCGGCTCTCTGACCCTAGTCCTCCCACTCATCAAGACCTTGGGCATGCGTACCCCCCAGCACGTTTTCAGGGTGACAGGACCCTAACCCTGGTCAGCCAGTGGCTTCCAGCACTGCAGTTCAGTATGCTACCACCTGCGCCACCAGGATGGGCCAAAATAAATTTTGAAAACACCTTCAATGTGAATAAATCCAAGTTAGTTATTGGATATTGTATATTTTCTCAATTAGCGAAGATGAAAAGATAATCACATATTCTTCAACCTTCACAATATTTTGACATTAATGACAGATCCTGTTTTCTAGAACTCAGCACGGGGAAATTCAAATCTTCTAGAGGATAAATTATGCACATGTGTCTACCTGAAAGATATACTCAAGTTGTACATGACTAGAGGTTTCATTTTATAAATCAAGAAAGAACATGATACAGAATTTAGCTTCACATGTTTTAATGAGGAATCTTTCTCACTATGTACAGGATTCTTTAACGGACGTAGGCTCACTAGCCAGGAGACCCGAGTAGCACCAAAACCCAAGGGCTGCTCAGGGCACTAAACGTTGACGGTCTTGGGTGGCTTCACGTCCTCAATTTCAGAAGCCAGCCAGCGGTACGTGCGATGACGCCGTAGCACCTCGATGGCCTTGTGTTCCAGGGGTGTCGCCTGAATACCAAGGTCTTCTAAGCCGGGCAGGTGAGGCAATGTCATGTCTGTGATGTGAATCTTCAAATACACAAAGGAGCACAGAGAGGTTGAAATGAACAAAGAATATAACGTGCTATCCTACCAAACACATAGACACGCTGGTCAGAGTCCATTACCAGGACTTAATTGCTTTCAGAGAACATGTGGCAGTTTTGGATTCTTAGAACTAGTTAAAAGTAGAACACAGAAAGGGAGCTTAAGGAGGGAGAAAAAGAAATTACTAAATAGCAGACCAAGGTCCCCAGCACTAAGCACAAGCTCTGGGCGCTGGCACCAGCTGTGCCATTCATACCGATTTAACCAAATAAATCCAGAGTGGGGAGCATGGCCAGTGCACCTGCCGGGGCTGGCTCACCGGGAGGGCTGAGGGACGAACTAGGGGCTGAAGCAGAACCAGCCCAGCCCCTACGTCCCTCCTGTGCCCGTTCTCTGAGCAGGGGCTTTCTCCCTTGGTTTTAACTTCTGAATTAAGGAGAAAACATAGCATCTGTCTCTTGCCACTGAGATAACTCAGCCCTCTCTGGTCCGGCTACTTTCAACCTGGCTAATGTGGACGGATGAACACCAAACCCCCCTCGTCTCCAGGGTGGGGAGTGACCTGTAAGACGTCCAAAGGTCCCAGGTCACCCAAAAGCAAAGGGGCAGAATCATTTCACCTAGATGGCATCAGTTTCTCGCGCTAGTCACTCAAAAGTCTGCAATTCTTTCACCAGTGCTCAGGTGGTCTCCAAACCAAATCCAAAACCCACTCAGCCCTGGCTGTCAACACTATCTCAGATATAAGTGGGAGAGGCGCATCAGGCTAAGATACCCTGACGGGTCTGACCATCAGTTCTGCCTCATCTTTCGTGGACGCACAGGGACATCATGGAAATGGTCTCAGCTCTCCAGACACAGTTTGTTAGAGGGGAGGGTGACAGCTGTCCATTCACGTCTGTTCCCTAAAACTATTTCCTCATCTTCCCCACACTTTAGCCTTCAGGTAACACTCAGAGAACTACTTGGTTGCTCCTTATCCACATACGGTCCTCAGGTCTGCAAGGCATAGCATTTTCATCTATCTTGCATGCTCCCTGGAGGCTCTTATACACAGGGCAAAGGGCCAACGGGGAAGAATGGCAGAGGGAGCAGCAAGATGGGATGAGCCGGAGCACTGGAGAGGACGGGGGCAGCAGGGGACGAGCTAGGAGACGCAGGGAGGGCAGCTGCGAGGGAGAGTGGGTAGACGAGACGGGCGTACAGCCTTGCTGTAAACTGAAAATGTTAGGACTATACAGATTTTCAAAATGCAAAGCTAAATAAGAAGGTGGGCGTAGAAACAGGTCTGGGACTGGTTTTGAAAGCTGTATGAATAAAGCTTGCTGATGGCCTGGGGCTGCTGGCCAACACAGCGTCAAGTACCGCTTTGGCTCTGCACGTGCAGTCGCACTACCACACGCCAGCGCTCCGTGGTCACGTGCTGCGAGAGGCTCGTGTCAGCGCGGGTGCAGAACACGCCATCACGCCAGAAGGACCTACTGGACGGCGCTGGTTTAGATCTGGTCTGGGAAAGGGGGATAAATCACAGGGAAATACGCGCATTTTGGGTTGGGTAACGGAGAACGGGGCTGCCGTTAGGACAGAGCCTAGGAAAGAAGCTGGTTTATGGCCTTATTTACGGGCAAGTTGTTTCAGAACGCCATAATCCATTCGAATAGCTGATGCCAGAGTCCAGGGTCCAGATGGGCTGCTCAGGGCTGGAGACTGAATTGTAGCGACAGGCCCAGAGCCAGCAGCTGTGGGACAAGGTGGGAGTCACTTAGCAAGGAGTGAAGACAAAGAACAGAAGGACAGAGCCCCTGGGTCCTGCAGAGGAATCAGGGAGAGCGGGGAGGCAGGAAGGGACGCTGAAAAGCACAGCCTAGAGAGAGCAGTGGCAGCAAGATGGTGTGGAGGGGCAGAACGCAGATGGAGAGACGGGGGTGCCACGGGCAGCAGGGGCCCTCACGGATGCCGCTCGCAGACGGATGGGATGAGGCCAGAGAAGCGACGGTTGAGTGACCCTGGGGGAGCAGGTTTGGGGGAGACGGGGACAACGCCTGGCTGGAACGGGCTAAGGGAAGAACGTGGCACATGACTGTCAACGGCAGGCACGACAGCTCCCACGGGAGCCGTGACAGAAAGGGACGCGAGCGAACAGCAAGCGGCTGGAGGGGCTAAGGGATGGGGAGGGCTTGGTCTAAAGAAGGCAGGCGGGCAGGGGGGGGCGGCACGAGGCCAGTCTGTAGGCGATGGGAATGATGCCACGAGGGAGAAAAACTGGCCGCGTCAAAGGCAGTAACGGAGCCCGTCCTGGAGCGGGTGAGGGTGGATGAGGGCCAGAGTCCAAGTGGAGGGGCTGCCATTACCAAGAACGGATATGAAATGGCCCAGAGCGAGGCGCGATCCAACAGCACACGAAGCCACACCCTCACCCTCCGCCTCTGCAGCACCCTGCCGAGCGCCTCCCAGGCGGGTGCTCCTACGCTCACACTCACCCGCTCCACTTTGTCCTTCGTTGTCCAGGGGTCAAACGGGCTAATCTCAAAGAGCTTCGCTAGCAGTCTGGAAAAAAGCACACGTACGGCACATGTGACGAGCGCCCCTTGCTCAGCGTAGGCTGCCGGCAGGCACAGGGAGGGAGGCTGCTACCGGGCACAAGCTCGCTCAGCTCTCGTTTTCGTGCTCGTAGGAGAACTGCACATCCTGGTGGCAGGACCCGCGGGCTGCCTGTTTCATCCCTGACTCCTTTCAAGCCAACCCAGCTGACTGCTATAACTGCTAGTATACCTCGTTCTCCTCCCCAAATACAATGGATCATGAAAACGGACACGAAATAAAGCAAAGAGGAAAAGATCCGACAGACGGTCAAGTCCGTGAAACCCAAACCACTCCAAGCCTCAAACATCCAAACAGGCTATTAAAGACATGGGACCCGCGGAGTGACATGCAACACGTGACACACAATCTCTGAAAGCAGGGCCCGGAAACAAACGACTCAAAAGGAAGGAGCAACCCCAGGTCTGACTGGAGTCTGGAAGAGGACCTAACAGTCAGGCAGGAGGGCTGCCTGCCTTGACTGTCTCTTCACTGCCAATAAAAACCACAGGTCCTCCTTCCACGTCATCTGAGCTCCTGTATGTGCCCTCAGGGCAGTGGACGTTAGTGGCTGAGAACTCCCCGTGGCCCCCACAGAGACCTGGGGGCCGGGGCCGGGAGGCTCTCCCCAGCTCTGCTTGTATCTATCTGATTTTCCTAGCAGGTCTTTACGTAAAACTCTACTCAACACAGGGTTCCGCTTTCTAAATGCTTGAAAAACATCGTTTCAACAGATGGTATAAATATCGCAAAAAGGAAGCTGAAGATTGGTCGGAATTTCTCCAGCAACACATAGCCTCAGATTCCAGCCAACTTGTCCCAATGACGGGACAAGACAACCTACTGGGCTAACCCAGCTTAACCAAACCCCGACAGACTCCCACCTTCTGCACTAGGCTTATGTGCCAATGGACCCCTCCTGGCCTCCTCGCTGCCCTCAGTGGCCATGCCGTGGGCACGTGCCGCGCCATCGGGCACACTCAGCTTTCTGCACCACCGGGTCTCCCTGCAACGAGGCCTGCACGGCCTCCACGGCACTGATGGCGCCATCGTACTGACCTCCCGCTGACATGGAAATGCGTGTAGTCTTAGTTTCCTTCCTTCATCTCACCTGCCTTCCCTGCAGCACTTCCTTCCCAGGTAATAACGGAGGGCTTACCGTGTGCCAGCCTCGCTCCGGGTGCTGCGGATATGAATGAAATAGCGACGTTTTCTCCCAAAACATCTACTCTACTTCGGACACCCCCCTTGCTTTGGTATTCAGGCTTGCCACCTCCTCATTTCCCACTTAAATGCCCGGTCGTGCGTCTTTCAGCCTCCTTCGTACGTGTGCCTACCCTGCCGGTCCTTTCAGTGGGGTACTCCTAGACTTCTGCAGCCCTCCTCTTCCTCACTCCGTACACTCTCCCTCCCTACCTTATAGCGATTATGAGAATTAAATGAGACAATCAAATCGTCTGAAAACAGGACACCCTCCACAAATACTGGGCCACACTGCCCTCCAGCTGCCCACCTTCCTGACACCCACACTGGACTGTGAGCGGTCTCAAGGCTCTCAGCAGCACCTGAAGGTCACGCCCAGGTCACAGAACCTACCCCACCTGGATATCAGGCCAGTTTAACACAGAAGGGGCCCTTTCCCATTTCCGGGAGAGTGGTGTGAAATAGAAGAAAATATCATTGTTCCCTTGCACATCGTCCAGCAAGGCACTCTCCATATTAAAATCCTAGAGGTCGGCTTGTCCATGTGAACCTCGATTTCCCTCGCAGACACCTCTGATGCCTCCCTAGGCCAACCTCATGACATGGGAGCACCTCCAAGTGAGAGACGCAGAGACCGCCCTTCACCAACAAACATCCTCCCAACGGCCCTAGTGGAGGGCATCGGGAGCGAGGGCAGGCGTTCGCCCCTTCTAGGAAGCAGCACTTCACTTACTGAAAGGCAAAATGTGGCAAGGGGTAGGGGACGAACGGCCTGTGCGTCATAGCGAAGATGTACTGCACCAGGTCGAACAGGAGGTACCGGTTTGGCCTACAGAGAGAAAACAGTTTCAAACTATCTGCTGCGCACGAGTTTTAATCTAACAAAATAAACATTTCCTTATGAAAAAGATTTACATAAGTAACCCCACCTATGATCCCATCGCCAAAGACAACATTAATACATCCGATTTATGCCCTTCTCATCCCCTTACAGTCACACATTCTTTGTTTTTATAAATATAAGATTACATAGGACCAGCAGATGATGTAACGGAACTCCACATAGTCAACTGCAGTTCGAGTCCCAGACCTGGCAGCTTAAAACTCACCTGGCGTGTGTGCATGCATGCCCAAAATCCTATGAGGAGGTGATTTCTTGCTTTCTGTCTCTGTTTTTCTTTGTCTCTCTGTCTTTCTCTGTCTCTCTGGTAAGCTCATTTACCCTAAAGCAAAAATCTTTCTAACAAAAAATAAAATTATATAATATATCCTACTATGTACTGTCTTTTTCACTTAATATTACATCTAAATCACCTTTCTCCCATTATTTCTATTGTATTTCTAAAGAATTATTTATGTATTTAATTTTATTTGTTATTATTTTTTAATCCAACCAGTGAGAGAGAGAAAGAGGAAGTGAGAAAGCAAGCTGCCAGGTCCAGGACTCAAACTGCAGTCAGCCACGTGTGAAACCAGTACCTCAACCACCATACCACCTGACAGCCTCACTATTGCATATTTAATGATTATACCTATTATAATACATTGCACACAATCACAGATATTTTGGCAATTCCCAGTTTGGAGGTAGTTAAGCTATTAAAGAATCTTTCTCTTTTATAAAAACACTGTTAGTAACACTTAAATTAACATTCTTATAATAAATATTTCTACACATTCATAATTATGCATTTAGAATATATTTCTAGAAGTGAAACTAGTCAAAGTATAATCTCAAGTTTTAAAGCTCTTAAAGAATACTTCTAAAGTACCTTACAAATAGTCACTTCAATTTAAATACAATGCTAGTAAGAATGTCCCCTCAGCAAAAGAGTGCAGCCATAAAAAGTAAACAAACAAGGGACCAGCAGATGGCACAATGGTTACATCTCTGGACTCCCACATGGCCACCCGTGGTTTGAGTCCCAGACCAGTGGCTTGAAATTTATGCCAGGCACATGTGCGTGTGTGCCCCAGATCCCAAGAGGAGAATGGGACTGTGGCTGGTGCGTGGCCACCCCCCCAGCGAGGTGATTTCTTGCTTTCTGTCTTTCTGTATCTCTCTGTCCCTCTGGCGAGCACATGGACCCTACAGCAAAAATCTCTCTCTAAAAAAAAGATTAAACTTAAAATAATAATAAGTAAAATAGGGCTAGGCAGGGATATAGCAGTAACACAACTGGGATCGCCAGAGCAGGGTCCTGGGTTGGCACCCCAGGACCTGTCTAAGCACAGGTGTGTGCCCAAGATCCAGGCTGGCTGAGATCAAGGGTGGTTCACAGCCTGGGGACCCTGGTGGGAGTGCCTCTATCTCCCTGTCTTCTGTCTCTCACTTTCATGAGAGAAATAAGCAAACTTTTTAAAAATTTTGCAAATCTATTCTTTTTTATTTTTTATTTTTTGGAGAGGTTTTTGCTATAGGGCACATGCGCTCGCCAGACAGACAGAGACAGACAGACAGAAAGCGAGAAATCATCCCCTAGGGGGGATGACCATGCTGCAATCCCTTCTTCTCCATTC